GAACCGTTTTTGCAATTTTTGGAAGAGCTTGCTGCAGCTATTGAAAAACAGGTAGATGATGAATCTTTGCGACAGAAATTGTGTGTACATTTGGCTAAAGAAAATGCAAACTCAGACTGCAGAAACATTATTGACACTTTACCTGAGGAACCCACATTGCCTGAAATGATTACTGCTTGATCAAAAGTTGGTCCAGTAGAGCATAAAATGGCAGCTCTTGCAGCGGTTCCAAGACCTTCATCAAAATGCTATAATTGTGGACAGCAAAGGCATGTAAGGGCATGGTGTAATACCCGGAAAATAACATCTAAGTCAAGTGTAAACAGCAATATTGTGTGCAATCGTTGTGCTAAATTTGGGCACTATGCTAAGCAACGCAGGAGTAAATATCATGCAAATGGTCAGCTGTTGCAGGGAAACAAGAAGAAGAACACCAAGGGCCATGTGGGAAAACAAATACCCCAACAACCACAGCAGCAAATATGGGCTTTCCAGGACTGCAAAGCTACCCATTTGTGAACAATACTCAGGAGCAACAAGTGGCTCTGCAGGGACTGATATACCCACTGCCGACACAGTAACCATTCTGACAAAAAATATTATGTAAAGTGCCCCTCAATGCCTATGGTCCAGTAGGACGGGGATTGAGTGCTTTTTGGATAGGAAGATCAAGTACTACTCTTAGAGGTATTCACGTGCATGTAGAACCTATTGATGCTGATTACTTAGGACAGATTCATGCTATGGTATCCACTGATGACCCTCCTGTCACTATTCAGAAAGGAACTTGCATTGCTCAACTTGTAACTATTGTGAGTTCTGGTCTGAATACAGTGGACCAGTCGGGGCACAGGAAGTTTTGATCCACAGGGGTACCTCAGGTGTTCTGGACTGAGAAAGTAACGGAGAACCATCCAGAAAAGACATGCATCCTCACTGCCAGTGGATGTCATCCAGGAACCATATCAGTGATAGGCTTGATTGATACTGGAGCAGATGTCAGAATACTCTCGTGACTTTGCCGGCCTCAATCGTGGCCTCTCACTTGTTGGGATTTTAGCTGACTAGAGATTGGAAAAGTACTGGACTCAGCCTAATTTGAGCTATAGCACCTGCAAGATAGTTTGTCCTTGGGCCTAGCTGTAGTATGATAACAAATAGTGAAAGAGACATGAGAAAAGAGAGATGTAACCCATAAGGAATGAGGAAGAGCTGATGTTGTGGTGTGGCCAATGGACAGCGTAAATTACAGAATATTCATGAGTTTATTACTTGCTGTATAAGTGTCTGATGCTCTCTTCAATAAACAGAACTTGCTGATGTCTCATATTGAGCCCCGAGTTTAGCCTGCCCCCGACAAATGGCTCATCCCTGACAAACGGATCATTTCTGCAACACATATCCAGTCTTTTCTTGAACACATCCAGGAATGGTGATTCCACCACCTCCCCAGGCAGGCCATTCCAGAAGTTTACCACCCTTTCTGTAAAAAACCTTTTCCTAATATCCAACCTATAGTTCCCTTGACACAGCTTGAGACTGTGTCCTCTGGTTCTGTCAGTGCTGCTTGGAGAAAGAGACCAACCCCACCTGACTACAACCACCTTTCAGGGAGCTGTAGAGAGTGATAAGGTCACCCCTGAGTCTCCTGTTCTCCAGGCTAAACAACCCCAGCTCCATCAGTTGTTCCTCACAGGGCTTGCGTTCCAAGACTCTCACCAGCCTCGCTGCCCTCCTCTGCACACACTCAAGTGTCTCAATGTCCTTCCCAAACTGAGGGGCCCAGAACTGGACACAGCAGTCAAGGCGTGGCCTCACCAGTGTCGAGTACAGGGGAAGGATGACCTCCCTAGTTCTGCTGGCCACACCATTCCTGATACAGGCCAGGAGCCATTGGCCTTCTTGGCCACCAGGGCACTCCACTGGCTCATGTTCAGCCAGCTGTCGACCAGCACCCCCAGGTCCCTTTGTGCCTGGGCACTGTCCAGCCACACCATCCCCAGCCTACAGCACTGCAGGAGGTTATTGTGGCCAAAATCCAGGACTGGGCACTTGGATTTATTAAACTTCATCCTGTTAGACTCTGCCCATCCATTCAACCATTCCAATTCTGTCTGCAGAGCCCTCCCACCTTCCAACAGATGGACACACGCTCCCAGCTTAGTGTCATCTGCAAACTTACAAATGAAAGACTCAATCCCTTCATCCATGTCATCAATAACGATATTAAACAGAACTGGTCCCAGCACAGACTCCTGAGGGACACCACTGGTGATTGGCTGCCAGCAGGATGCAGCTCCGTTCACCACCACTCTCTGGGCCCGGCCATCCAGCCAGCTCCTAACCCAGCACAGAGTGCTCCTGTCCCAGCCGTGGGCTGCAGCTTTTCCAGGAGTGTGCTGTGGGAGACAGTGTCAAAGGCCTTGCTGAAGTCCAGGTACACAACATCCACAGCCTTTCCCACATCCACCAGGAGGGCCACCTGGTCATAAAAGGAGATCAGGTTGGTCAAACATGACCTACCCCTCCTAAATCCCTGCTGTCTGGGTCTTACACCCTGGCCATCCTGTGAGTTCTGTGTGATGACACTCAGTATGAACTGTTCCATAACCTTACCTGGTACTGAGGTCAGACTGACTGGCCTATAATTACCAGGATCCTCCATCCCACCCTTTTTCTGAATGGATCTCACATTGGCCAGCTTCCAGTCATCTGGAACCTCACCAGTGAGCCAGGACTGCTGGCACATGATGGAGAGCGGCTTCACAAGCTCATCTGCCAGCTCCCTCATCACCCTGGGATAGATCCCATCTGGTCCCATGGATTTATGAATACCCAAGTGGCTCAGCAGTTCTCTGACTGCCTCCTCTTGGATAATGGGGGAAACACTCTGCTCCCTGACACCACTGAGCAGCCCAAGAGGACAGTTGTCCTTGAAGGCAAGTCTTCTCAGGAAAAACTGAGACAAAGAAAGTGTTAGGCACCTCTTCCTTCTTTTCATTTGCAGCTATTAAGTTCCGTCCCTCATCCAGTAAAGAACAAAGGTTGGTCTTACCCTTCCTTTCACCATTTATATATATATATATATATATATACAAACATTTTTTGTTATCCTTTACAAAAGTCACTATTTTAATTTCAAACCAAGCTTTAGCCTCCCTAATTTTTTTCCTGCATGCTCTAGCAGCCCCCTTAAATACTTCCTGAGAGACCTGACTCTCCTTCCAAAGACAATACATCCTTTTTTTGTTCCTGAGTTCCTCCAAAACCTCCTTGCCCATCCAGGCTAGTTATTTGCCTCTTCGACTCATCTTTTGGCACACAGGGACAGTCTGTTCCTGTGCCCTCAAGATCTCCATTTTGAAGCATGCCCACCCTTCCTGAACTCCTGTGTTTTTAAGGACTACTTCCCAAGGATCTCTCTCAATAAGTCTACTGAATAGGCCAAAGTCTGCCTCCCAAAAGTCCAGTGTAAAAGTCTTCTTAATGTTCCTCTTGACTTCACCAAATATTGAGAATTTTATCATTGCATGATCACTATGCCCCAAGTGGCCTCCAACTACCACATCTCCCACCAACCCATCTCTATTTGAAAATAGATCATGATGATCTCACGAGCATGGTCATCTCATGGTCATCTCTTGGTCACAGTCATCACATGCTCACAGTAATCTCACATTCATGGTCATCCCATCAGAATGGTCATCTCATGACCATGGCCATGCCATGGTCATAGTCAAAGTCATGTTATGGTCATGGTCGTCTCATGATCGTCTCGTGGTCAACTCATGGCCACAATCATATCATGGTCATCTCATGGCTGTGGTTGTGTCATGGTCATGATAATCTCAAGGTCACAGCCATTTCCTGATCACCATCA